TTTGTAAATTCTATTGTATTTGCAGGAAATCTGGCAGTTTAAACGAAATATTGAACGAAATATTAATACATCTACGTAATTTATGTGCTATTTAGCTGTATAAAAAATTCAAAAGGACTCAAAATTAAAATAACACTACTATGAGATTTATGTAAACATCCAATTTAAAAACAATTCATGTTTTCATCAGTTAAATGTGCTTCATATGCGTATACAAATAAACATATTGCACAAAAGCTAATACTTCGATTTAACAGCAAAGCTACACTTTTTACAAGTAAATTTGCAAAGAAGCAACACTGTGCCATTGCTAAGGGAGCGGTGCGAGAGAGACAACTGTCAGTTTATCGAACCTTGTATTATTGAATAATGGTCAAGTACCTTTGTGTTAACTAGATCAGCTGTGTGACCGCTCGTGATTACATGTTGTGCTAGTGCTGTATTGTTTTTCCTTTTCCTTATGATCGCATCGTGATCTGATAATCGTGTGCCTAGTGATCCGTTTTTTGTACCTACAGTGAAACCCGCTTAAGTACCTAACCCGCTTAAGTAACCAATTCGTTAAAATATTTACGTATTTTGAAATTCAGTAGCAGCGCTACACACCTTCGCTAAAAAAATTCAAAAAAATCAACGGTAACTTTTAGCCACCTAAACTGTATACTCAAAAAACACTTCTGAGAAAAAAGTTTGAAATTATGATGATTAGATTTTTTGCAGTATTAATTTTATATTTAAGGGGCTGGGTTGATAAGAAATTTATTATACGTCCAGATGAAATTGGCTTGGAGTACCAGTTCAATAATAGCTTGTTTTTGTCCCTATGTATAACTGCTTCTAAGAAGGGTATGCTGAGGTTTTTCTCACTTTCCATTGTAAACTGTAATTTANAATTTATGTGCTATTTAGCTGTATAAAAAATTCAAAAGGACTCAAAATTAAAATAACACTACTATGAGATTTATGTAAACATCCAATTTAAAAACAATTCATGTTTTCATCAGTTAAATGTGCTTCATATGCGTATACAAATAAACATATTGCACAAAAGCTAATACTTCGATTTAACAGCAAAGCTACACTTTTTACAAGTAAATTTGCAAAGAAGCAANCTTGGTTATTACTTTTCATGAGCGCCTGTTCGATTCGACTTTTTGTTAAATGCGTGGGATAATTATTTTGTTGTATCTTCTTTATGTTTTCGCCTCCAAATTTGTTGTGACTTATGGTAAGTATTTTAGTGATTCGATTTGCAGTATTAATTTTATATTTAAGGGGCTGGGTTGATAAGAAATTTATNAGTTAAATGTGCTTCATATGCGTATACAAATAAACATATTGCACAAAAGCTAATACTTCGATTTAACAGCAAAGCTACACTTTTTACAAGTAAATTTGCAAAGAAGCAACACTGTGCCATTGCTAAGGGAGCGGTGCGAGAGAGACAACTGTCAGTTTATCGAACCTTGTATTATTGAATAATGGTCAAGTACCTTTGTGTTAACTAGATCAGCTGTGTGACCGCTCGTGATTACATGTTGTGCTAGTGCTGTATTGTTTTTCCTTTTCCTTATGATCGCATCGTGATCTGATAATCGTGTGCCTAGTGATCCGTTTTTTGTACCTACAGTGAAACCCGCTTAAGTACCTAACCCGCTTAAGTAACCAATTCGTTAAAATATTTACGTATTTTGAAATTCAGTAGCAGCGCTACACACCTTCGCTAAAAAAATTCTAAAAAATCAACGGTAACTTTTAGCCACCTAAACTGTATACTCAAAAAACACTTCTGAGAAAAAAGTTTGAAATTATGATGATTAGATTTTTTGCAGTATTAATTTTATATTTAAGGGGCTGGGTTGATAAGAAATTTATTATACGTCCAGATGAAATTGGCTTGGAGTACCAGTTCAATAATAGCTTGTTTTTGTCCCTATGTATAACTGCTTCTAAGAAGGGTATGCTGAGGTTTTTCTCACTTTCCATTGTAAACTGTAATTTACTATGGTATTTGTTTAGTGTCTTTAAAATTGTTTTTACGTCGCTTCGTTTAATAATGGCAAAGCTATCGTCCACATACTTTACTATAAATTTGATTTCGATATTATACAGCTCCTTTAGCTCCGATAAAGTGTTGTCCAGCAGGTCATCCCTAATAATATCTGCTATTGTTGGGGATAGAGGGTTTCCCATAGGCATTCCGAAGGGTTGCGTGTAAGCGAAACGTCGAGCATAAAGTGAAGGAAACTATGTTTTCACTTGCACTAGCACCAGTTAGATCAACCAAAGCCTATACAAGCAACAAAATCGAANCTTGTTTTTGTCCCTATGTATAACTGCTTCTAAGAAGGGTATGCTGAGGTTTTTCTCACTTTCCATTGTAAACTGTAATTTACTATGGTATTTGTTTAGTGTCTTTAAAATTGTTTTTACGTCGCTTCGTTTAATAATGGCAAAGCTATCGTCCACATACTTTACTATAAATTTGATTTCGATATTATACAGCTCCTTTAGTTCCGATAAAGTGTTGTCCAGCAGGTCATCCATAATAATATCTGCTATTGTTGGGGATAGAGGGTTTCCCATAGGCATTCCGAAGGGTTGCGTGTAAGCGAAACGTCGAGCATAAAGTGAAGGAAACTGTGTTTTCACTTGCACTAGCACCAGTTAGATCAACCAAAGCCTATACAAGCAACAAAATCGAAAGAAAATTGATCAGCACACAAAAGAATAAATTATTTAAATACTTTTATTTTATTTTATTTCGCATTATTTGTTTCTTTACTAGTTCATCTAAATTTTTAGAGTTCAATTTTATTAAAAAAGTCAACAACAACAAATTAAAAAAATATATACATAAGTTATATATAGTTGAATGAATAAAAAAACCGCTGGCAGTGGGGCTCGAACCCACGGCTTAGCGACTCGTTAATCCGCAATATTTACTACCGTCTGTCAAGGCACAATTTTGATCAGATCAACTGCAGAGATTACAGGTTGAAATAAGACTATCGAAAAAGCTGATAACATAGATTGTAGTATTCCATATGTATGATATTATATCGCTAAAAGTCGGCCTTGGAGGGTTCTGCTTTTCAGTCGTTTCAATCTAAACTAACAATTTTTACTTTACAACCTGTTCTTGCTTTTTAACACTATTTTTGCCTTTGCAAACGGAAATATTCTCATCAGACGACGCGAAGCAAGCCGGGCATTTGCTCGTTTGAAATAAAGCATTAAGATTTATACCAAAAATTGGAGGAGGAGTTCGGCCAAGTACTTAGCATAAACGTTAGCGCAAAATCACGATTGAGAGAATACAAAGGTTGCGCCGATCTCGGACCGCTATTCCTCTCTTAACGAATTTGACAGAATCGTTGTTTGCATGACGTCACACTGGTGCAACTTGTTTACGTTTTCTTTGCAACATTTTTTCTTCTTCTTCCATTCTTGCTCACGTTTTGGCATTTCACTCTCGCAATTGCACCAGTGTGACGTCACACAAAAGTTATTCTCAAAAATCCTCTCTGATCGGCGCAATCTTGTATTCTATCATTCTTGGCGCAAAATGTTTTTTTTTTTTAAGTACTGTTGAATATGAATTTTTCTCTTAATTGAGTCTTCGACAAATTGCTATTCACTAGTATTCATTATATTTTTTTAATCAATATTTATTATGTCGAATTTCCACTAGGCATTGAAATGGCAAAAAATATATGCCATTTAAAAAATGCCATGTGGAAACAGACATACAGGCAGGTTCTGTAATTCACTTCCAATTGAGATGCAATAAAATTCGTTTTAAATTCAAATTGACAGGGGTTGAAATTCACTCGGAAGTGAATTACAGAACCTACCGGAGAATGACTATTTTTATGAACGCAATGGCGCGGAAATTTTTATTGCCCAATATTGTCATTAAGAATGTTGTCATTTATTGCCTAGTGGAAATTCACCATTAGGCGGCGAATATAAATATCAATTATTTTTCAAGTACGTAGGCGCGCTACTTGACTTATGCACAAAGTAACCCACACAAATATTTGCGCAAATACCAATCAGTACAAATAGGAATCGAGTAAGAATCTTATTTGTACCAATATGTATTCGCGCAAATATTTATGTGTTGTATTTTGCGCATTAACGAAAAGTAACGTCGCATACAGTGATATCCAGCTTACATTTAAATATATGTGTAAGCGTATTTTTCGCGTTTGAGTATATCGTCAATGATATTGCAAAACGTTCTATGTCAATTATTACTCTTGGAACTTAGATGGTCTGTTACAGGCACCGGAATGCATATGCAAATCAGTACACTCTCATAAACTAATGACAAAACTATCTCCCTTTTACTGATGAAGATGATCGATTAACCGAACCGATCAGATACAGGTGTCAGGGCTCTTAAGCACCCAAGGTCATAATTGACATAGAAAGTTTTGCAGTACCACCGACAACATGCATGTACACATATTTGATTTACAATTGTTCTTTCCGCCTCTTTGCTGCATCCCGCCATTATCATGATTCATGACTCTGCAAGTGTGAACTGAAATATTTAGCAATAAATATATGCTTTTTCGTGCGCATGTGTGTGTTTACGAGTATGTGTATGCTGTAGGTACACGTCATGCACTGCAATTAAACTGATTTTGTTAATTTATGCTTGAGATGAGCGCGTCGAACTTCGTTAATTACAAACAAAAAAAAATATACAAAAACATATACAATTGCATTGCAAAAACTAATATTAAGTATTAAAAAAATAATAAATATAAAAATTAGAAAAACAATAAAATAAAAGAGCGTGAACATGTAAGAAAAGGGAACACAAATTCCAAGCGCCAACTGTGAAATTCACCAAACGTTTCGTGTATAAAAGCGATGTTGCAACTGTCAGCGGCATCAGTGAATCCAACCACCAGAGTTGGACAATACACCAAAAAATAAATATATCAGCGAATCATCAAGCCAGAACCGCTGAAAATCAAATTGCAATGCGGGCTTTCGTCATAGTGTTGTTGTTGAGCCTGATAGCATTCGCTGCGGCTGGTAATTTGGGTGGCGGCGGTGGTGGCTGGCAAGGAGGTGGTGGTAGAGGTGGCAAAGGTAGTGGTGGCGGAGGATATGGCGGTGGCGGACTCAGTGGAGGCGGATATGGCGGTGGTGGACTCAGTGGAGGCGGATATAGCGGTGGCGGTAGCAGAGGACGTGGAGGCGGTGGCGGTTACGGTGGAAGCGGAGGCTTTGGCGGAAAAGGCGGCGGTGGTGGATATGGTGGTTCCAGAGGTGGCGGTAGTGGGGGCTACGGTGGAAGTGGAGGCTTTGGAGGAAAAGGTGGTGGTGGTGGTGGTAGAGGTGGTTATGGTGGCGGAAGCTTTGGTGGCGGTCATGGTGGTGGAGCTGGTGGATACGGAGGTGGTGGCTTTGGTGGCGGCGGCGGCGGTAAAGGGTGGTAAACTCTTCTTGTGTTACACTGGCAAAATTCGTGACTAGATTTGTTTATTTGGCAAATGCTTTCTCTCACTTAACTGAACTATGTATGAATGTAAAACTGCTTGTCAAAAAATGAAGAAAAAATGCAAAACGTAAACTACTGTAACCATTTTACTTTGGATTTCATGAGGATGCTGATTTTTATGTTTTTAATAAATTAATTCTAAGTTAAATATTTAAAACGAAACATTTCCACGGCATTCGAAAAGAAGAAACTGTGTGAGGCATTCATGAAAAGGTGATGATTAACCAAACTTCAACCACCACACCTCAAAGCAGATATTTTAATATTCGGTTTTTGAGAGACGGTTAGCCAAAAACAAAGTTGGACCAATGAAAATCGGTTCAGGAGTAAGTGATTTCAAAAATCCGAGTAAAATCGGAAAATTCCTATCAGATTTACGTTTTTTTATTTTTTATCGTGTTTTTATTCGAGTCGAAGGTTTAATGAAAGAAGTAAAAAGTCTAAGTAATTAATTATAATAACAATAATATTTTGGCGCTTACACTTTTTTTTCGTGTTTGGCAGTTTCTCTTCTAAAGGTGATGCACCTAAAGTTTTACGCCGCCTTTGAACGACAAAGACAGAAGTACACTCGGAGGTTTATTAAAAAAACAAAAATTATGTTGCTATGACCAGGGTTCGACCCTTGGTCCTCCCGAGTGGAAGTTTGCACCTCTAACCATACTGCTACGGCGGCCAACGTAATTATTGTCCGAGTATGAACTTTTTTTTTTTGTTTTTGATTAATGTGACTCAAAGCAATGTGTGTACCTTAGATTTCAAAGACTTTCAACTTATGACTTGGTGAGGCCTTAATAAATGCGCGTACAGTGGCAAAGCGGTTATTGAAGTACATATAAAGTTTGTATCATAACGAGCAGTGCAACGCTAATTTTTCAAAATTTTATAAGAACACAGTCTCTGATAAAATATTAACTCTTTGACATCTCTGTTTAGCAATTAGGCTCCATTAACTAATGAAAAATCGAAGTTTTGGCTTGTTTTTCAAAATATCGTTATATGGATGTAGGCGTGGCTTCAGTCACCCATTTCAACAGCAACCTTCCATAAGAAACCTACTCCCCAAGTTTCATTGAGGCACCGCCAATTTATGAATATGTACACAAGTTTATCTCATAAGTCTAACTAAACATTCTATCGAAGATGTTAGAAATAGTCGCAACGGTAGTTTTTGGAAAGGTGAAAAAACTGTATTTAATACGTGCGCCGGGTATTTAATGTTCGGCTTCAACCGAACTTAGACCTCTTTAGTTGTACATTCAATAATTTAATATACATACCTACATGCATACATATGTATATGTATCGTTACCATTCTTTTACATATTCTGTTAGGTTTATCTCAAAGAAAATGCCATACTAAAATTCATAGCCATGACTTAAAAAAACGGGATTAATGGTTTTTTTTGTTGCGATATTTATAATTGACCTCTAAAACTTTTTAGTGTTGTGTAAACCAGAATAAGGAAAGCTTTTACGCGTCGGTACTTTTGGTATTTGCGATTCTTACTCAATACTTTTCAAAAAGTATCGAGTTATCGATTCTTCTCGGCACTAGAGATGTCAGATCGAAGTAAAAAATTCGTATCAAAATTAAAATAATCGATGCAGGAAGAAATGGTTAAAATAATAAATCGATCTCCCAAGATCGATTCATAAATATATAAACGCCTTTCACTTAATTTTTTATAAATAAACAAATCACTGCATTTTACCCAATTCTGAAATCACAAACATGTGTTGTGAGGTTTTTAAAACATACATTGTTTATAGCGGTTGCTATCAGGTAGCTCACAATNTACTGCATTTTACCCAATTCTGAAATCACAAACATTTATTGTGAGTAATTTTTAAAACATACATTGTTTATAGCGGTTGCTATCAGGTAGCTCACAATCCGTAGTTACTTTTTAAGAAGTAAAAATGTGAGATAAGGTTTTTTTTATTAAGATATGAGCAATCAACAGAAACTTGATAAATTATTTGCCCAACTGGCTCCATTTTTTCGAAATTGTGTTCTTTTCTTGTCACACTAACCCAATAAAGCTTACGTACGCATACATTTTCGGAATTTTTATTCGTTTTCGCTAATTTAATATTTCACTCCTTAATTAGTCTCTTGGAAAGAATTTCAGTATTGCCCCATTGAAATTTAGTATAATGAAGTGTAATTTTGAAGATTCGATTTTTGGATTATTTTTTACTTTAAAACGAATTTTTCAAATAATGCATACATCCAGAGAGCCTCATATGTACGCTTAAAAATGAATGAATGGAATTTTTTAATATGTTTTCATAATTCGTATGTTGGTGAGAGTGGTCAAGGCCCATCTATACCTTTATTGACATGGTTGATAGAATTGTATCACCAAACAAATTCATGGAAAATGTAGGAAATTGTTACATACTTTTGTAGCTTCAAAAACTAGTACCTCGGAAACATATCTTGACCTTCAGAATATGAGTCCGAAAGGAGAATTAGGTGGGTAAGAAACATGAACTCCAAAAACAAAAAATCTGTGAATCTTACCCAGAAAACATTGAGGTTAGTTATCGATTAGAGAATGATTATAGAACTATAGAACTAGCCACATTCGCCAATATCACACGTTAGAGTACGACTCGAAAAACTATCGAAAATCATAGCGATCTCAACTAAAATGGGACATAGTTCCCGACTCCAGAAAATATTTAAACTCTAATCGAATTCTAATATTGATTTCTAATGGGATTCGAATGTAAATTTAAAACTGCTGTTTTCCTTTTTTAAATAAAACGCCTTGTTTATAAAATTTGTATTAAATATATTTTCAATAAAATAATAATGCATTATTTGAACTTAAAAATAATTTATGATTCGTTCATTTGGAATATTGTTTATTTACTTTATTTAAAATTGCGTTGTTTCTCTAATCGTTCTCGAATCGAAATCTAATGTAGTTCTCTAACTTGGTCATCTACTCGAGAACGATTAGAGAATTACCCTAGTTATTTAATATAGAAATCCAAACTTTTCTAACGTTAGAGACTGTGTTTGCTGGGTTATATGAATCATTTAGTAGTCATATGTATATGATCCAAGTGCTGAGTCATGACTTTATGCCAATATAAATACAATAGAAATATTAGAAAGAAATGTTTGCACCTGTGCAAACATGGCTCTAAAAAAAAAAGAGTTCAATAAGAATCATAGAACGGGGCAAATAAGACTCAAAAACAACCTGAAATAAGAGTCCGAAAGTAGTCATTTATGAGGCCAATAAGAGTCATTTAAGAACCTTTAAAGAGGCTGAAATTTGCCGTAAAAAGATCGGAATGAGCCGCATATGGGGATAATAAGAGTCTGATATGACTCATATTAAGGCTCATTTGGTGTATCAATTTAAGCTCATATAACTAAGTCGAGTAAAGGCTCCGAAATAGGACTCCTTAGTGACTCATTTATGAATATACACGTTTATATGTATATTCTAAAATGCCAAGAAGAAAAATTTGAAATGGAATATGGTATGGAAAGACTTATGTATGTCAATCATCATACTAAGTAAAAAAATGCATTCCAACTGAGTCATATAGCCCGTATTTGTAGTAAACAAATCTTCGAAGATTTTTTACCACCAAACCAGGTTATTTGTAATTCGTATTTATTTCCCAGCCCGCAGTCAGTCAGTTGACTGAATGAAGTTGGCTGCGATTCAGACTATGGCGGCTTTACTTAATTTCAGCGGAAAATCTTTTCTAGGTATGTGAAACTGCTAAAATATAATTAGCTTAATTAAGATCAATCGCTGAGTTAAACTGAAGTAATTTATGGCTGGTGAAAGATACCTTTAAAATTTCTATAAGAAAAATTATACTTTACTTATTTACTTTACTGGAGCATTTTCTGTATGGGTAATTAAACACCTACAATTCCTTACCACATTATTTGCCGGGCCTGATCACTACAACGTCTACAATCAGAAGACGAGATGGAATACTTATTTGCTGCACAACATGCCCTGCGCTTTGCACTCAATTTTTAAAGATCGCGTGCTTCCACACTTTAATGAAGGCTTTGTGTTTTTTTTTAAATAAATTTCGTGTAGATACGCTTTCCCTATATACGAATATTAAATCAAATTTAAATATAAATTTTTTTCAGTGCTGTCATATTTTCCATAGTATTTTTCATTCTATATTCGTTTGCAAAAATTTGTACATTTTACTGGATTGGGAGGACTTCTGATTCCATATGATTTTCATATGAATTTCATATTATGAAACTCAGGCACTTTCACATGAAATGTGTTTATATGTCAGGGCATACAGGAGGGGATCAATTTTTTTTTCTATTTAAAGTGTACATTTGTATATGTTCCTATGCTTCAGGGCAAACCAAAAACAAATGCGCTATAAGTGCTTAATGGACTCACCGCTAAAGGCAACTAAACTGATTGGTCGGTATCGCGCCGATCCTAGTATTTCTTCGGCGATGAACCGTTCGTAGAGGGGCGGGCGGGGGTGAGTAAATGATGTGAAATTTCGTATTTATTTCTATTAGTTTTCCTTTTCTAAGCCCGCAAGGTTGTTTTTATCAACCGCCATCATGACTTCTTTCCACCTGCCTCTATATATGTAGTCGAAACACTGTGCATCGTTGGCCTGAAACCCAGAGGTGTCACCGGAGCAATTAACAGCTTAGAAGAAGAAGCTAAAAAAGTTGGTCTAGCCGTGAACGCATAAAAAGTCTTCGGGTATTGGGACACACGTCACGGTTGGCAGTTATTACTTTGAATTAGGGAAGGACTTTGCCTACCTATAAGCTAGCAAAAACACCACCAATAATATCAGCATAGAGATAAAACAAAGAGTAACTCTTGCCAACAGGTGCCACCTTGGGCTCGCTAAAAAGCAAAACCTTCTCTCGACGAACAAAAATTACGCTCTACAAATCTC